ATAAACACTTATTTAGGGATCTAAACTAAATTTTGGAATAGAAACCTCCGATTAATTTGCTTTTATAAAGAATTTTTTCGAAAAAAGCTTAGGCGGTCCACTCAAGGTGACATTACCCTATTCCTCTTCCATTCTAGACACCTACCCTTGTCAATTTTCTCTCCGTCCCTTGTGGAAGTAGACCGAGATAACCATAACAAAATTCACATCGTTAAGTAATATTTTTATTGCTAAAATCCAATAGCGATTTGAGCAAAAAATTATTGAATATTTATTAAAATAATTTAAAAAATAAAAATCTTTTTACAGGCGAATCTCTGAATAGTGCAGTCGTCAGGCCCGAATTTATATGTAATAGGCAACTTAGACAACCGCCTATGGGTCCCCACCATCAAAACTTTATTTCAAGAATTATTTCGAAAACATTTTGTTGGACATTTAAAAACTTCAAAATTTCTTTTAGAAATCTTTTCATGATTTTAGAAAATTAAAAAGCGCGTTTATTATGTAAGTTTAGAGTTTAGTCAGAATTTCTGACGTTTTATTATTATTCATGACTTTACTTTTAGTAGGGATATATAATATTATTATTAATTAAAAATTGTATTCTTTGTCAAATTTTTGAAAAACCTAATTTCATAAATAAGGCCCCCACCAGCGTTACTTTAGGCACCAACTTTGATAAATACGGGACTGGAAGTCGTTAGGTGGGAGAGTAGACACCAATAATTTTTTCTCTTTTGAATACTAAGGTTGTTCCAGACGTTCACGCTGGCAGTGCTGTTAAAATGGCAAACGTGGTTGGTTAGTAAGTAAAATTATGAATTTTGATTGGCTAAAATCTAAATTGATAGTTTTCGTGCTATCATTTGATGCTTGGTTTCAAATGATTAAGCGTGAAAACCAAGCACGAAAACTGTCAATTTAGAGTTTTAGCCAATCGCAAAATTCATAATTTTACTCACAAACCAACCACGTTTGCCAATTTCACGCACTACCATTACTACGGAAACACCCTTAGTATGTGTTTTTTTATATAGTTTTTTCTGATTCATTGTAAAATTTATTATGAAAAATGAACTGAAAATTATTTATTCTTCAGGTAACTTATTTTTTGAGTCAATTTTGTATTTAAAGCGAAGCACGAATAATGACTACTTAATAATGTGCCTTCTCATCATATTATTGATACGGTCCTGAATGTTTACGTTTATGAACAGTTCAGCATGCACCCGACGACTGTAGTATTCAAAGGTCCGCCTGTATATAACAGCTATCTGAAAAAATTATCGTGATGTCTTCTGGCTGGGACCCAGCAGGAAGTCAGAGCAATGCTCAACTTAAATTCGGGCCTCCTGACCATGCTATGACAAACGCCCACATTCAATTTCCACACTTGTATGAACTCTTTGAAACTTATCCACCTTTTAGATGTCGCTTTTAAACTTCGTACCTTCACCTAACTCTTGTCTTTTGTACCATGTCTAGTTCCTACCTTACATAGAAAAATGGTTGGATAAAATATTCAATTAGGTAGACTATGGGGCGCAATCCAACAAATTAGTGAAACTATCCAATTATTGTATGAGCTGTCCGGGAGAAAGGCGCCCTAGCTATAACAGAGGTTACGCAGATAACAATTTTATAACTTATCCAATAATTGAATAGTTTAACGAATTTAAACAATTTAAACCAACTATTTTTCATCCTGCATGATTTCGCTGAATATACACTCCATCATACCACATAATATTTCTTGAATATTTAAGAAATATTTCAGTGTAAAGTTCATGAAATGTTGCTGCATTTAGGAAAATGTCCGCTTGTGAGGAAATATCACAGCAAAGGTTACATGAATATTATACTGCTTTTTCTGCAAATACAAAATTACAAATTACAGCAATATTGCATTCATTAATTGTTTAATTAAATTTTGCAATTAAAATCTCTGTATAATTGTCAATATATTATTAATTTATTCAATTTGTATTTATTACACAATTATTTATATTTAGTAATAAAAATACGTTTAAAAAGCTAAGATTGAGATACTAAATAGTAATAATAATAATAATAATAATAATAATAATAATAATAATAATAATAATAATTGATTAATAAATATAAATTGAATAATATTTATTTAAGGACACATTTTTGAAAACAGAGAGACACTTTTCTCGAAATTAACTAAACCGATTTTAAAAATCAAAAACCATTAACTAAAAAACTAAACAACTAACCTCTAAAATGTTATTATATGGTTATATGTTAACCTCTAACCCTGTTATTTTCTACAAAGGTAAATTGACCCAAAAACACATCATTTTTTCGATTTTTTGAAAAAAATATACATAAAAAATTGTTTTTGAGGTTTCTTGTTTAAAAAACCCTTATGAAGAGAATCCCGTTTGAATTTTTAATTTATATAAAATAAGTTGCTCGCAAACTGTCTCACTAAAAAAAGGCATCTTTTGGATACAGTTTATACATTTTTTACAATAAGTGTTTAAAAAAGTGTATTTTTTACCAATTCTGCACCAGAAAGTCCCCTTAAGTAATAAAAAACAAATTCAATAAATTAATAATATATCAACGTTTATAAAAATATTTTAATTGTAAAATTTAATTAAATGATTTATAAATGTAATATTGCTGTAACTTGTAATCTTACATTGATCATCAGGAATACAAAAAGAATTAATTTTGTTTATGAAATCATAACTATTACATACATATGATTTTGCTCTTTTATAGAATTCTTAAGAAGTGTAAATAATTGTTTAGATAAAAAGTGAGTTGGTTTGTTAATAGTAGAAACAGCAGGTCTTAAAGGATTGTTATTCTTATGGATCTTGGGTAAAACACAACTTTTTGAGAGATTCGTATTAGTTTAAGTAAGTTCAATGTCACCACATTTTCTATAAAGCAAATCATTATTATTTAGATATTTTAAAATTGTATAAATTTTAGTTTTTAAATTAGGTAACGGATCTCTATTAATGACTTTATAGGTATATACTATATATATGTTATAAATTTCATCATTTAATTCTTAAGAAAAAATAAAATTTTCGGCAGATTTTATGTATTCAATATCCGTGTTTAAACAAATGTTATTATTATTATTATTATTAACGTCATAAGACTTAAAATTTCTTCATAATGATATAAGGTTAGTAACATCATCAGGAATATCAACATTAGATAAGTTCAAAAACCATTCAGCTTGAGAGTTAAACGGATTATTGAAATGTAATTTTAAACGATTACATTGTAAGAATCGAAATTTCTTCTCAGATTGTTTTCTAAGATTATTTTTAAATTGAATCAATTTCTGGTTATGTATCTCATAAATAGATCGTAGACTTAGTAAAGAAAAATTGTTTTCTAATGCGGATTTAAATGTATTATTTTTTTAAATAAATAATGAATGTGAATACATTTATCTTCAATGAAAATATTCAACAATTTATTTTTGAAAGATTTAAAAAGAGAATTAAATTTTGAGTTACCAGTATTACTATGTAAGAAAAAATGATCCAAACTAGAATCAGTAGTGTCGATGTGTTTAGGCGTCAAATCGTATGTTCGACAATTCAAGAGGAACTGTAGTTGAGTGGTAAATCTAGCAGCACGTCTATTGATGTTAATCCATTTTTTAAAAATTCCCTTTTGTTAAAAGACGAAGAAAATTGGAAAATATTTGAAGTACTGTTATATGACCCTTGTAGATCCATGGTCAATAATAATAATAATAACAATTAATAATTCTATCACTAGGTTTTCAAATTAGTTAAGTGTTGAAATTAACGATCACTCCAAATCAAGCTTGACTCAGAGTGATCGTTAACTTCAACACTTAATTAATTGTAATCTTACAGTTCCAGAAAAATTCATTATAATATTCATGTAACTAAGCTTTGTTGTGATATTTCTTCACAAGCATAGTCCTAAAAACAGCAACAATTCAAGAACTTTGTAATGAAATATTTCGATCCTTTGCTGAAATATTCAGGAAATATCATCTCCTGTGTGAGTTGAAGAAAATATATTTTTGTAACTGACAGAATTATGGCTAGTTCTAACATATTGTATTAATGGAAATGGTACAGACATACAACCCTCACAGCACCGGGATATTCAGGATATCCCAGAGACGTCCTGGGGATATCGATTTGTTTTCGGAAGTTTGGATATCTCTGGGATATCCTAGGGACGTCCATGGATATCCAGAGGATAATCCAGGGATATCCAAACTTCCGAAAACAAATCGATATCCCCAGGACGTCTCTGGGATATCCTGAATATCCCGGTGCTGTGAGGGAATATTGATGTTTCATTCACACGCAGTGTAATCTAACCACATTTACATTCTTTATACCTTTTTAATAGTATTTAATTAGAGATGTACAAAAACTTGCAATTAACATGGATTTTAAATGCGAACCAAGTCCACACTATTTCTTTTGGAGCGAATCGAATTTTCTAAATTTGTACATCTCTGCATTTAATTTTTTTCTAAGAAGGAATATCTTATTTCAAAAATATGTAATTTTTTACAGTTTTATATCATTTTTTTATGTTATAACTTTGTTTATTTACCCGTTAAATAGAGTTGAATGAACAACTAATTTGAATGAAAATTTACCGATTGCAGTTAATTTATTAATTTTGAATGCTTATTGATATTTTCAGAACACTTTTTACCAAAGTTCTGCTTAAAATATTACGACCATCAATTCCTCGATTAGAACTAGTATAAGTCATCTCAAAATATGATGTATGTAATCTCCTAAATATCACTGTCCTTATTTACTATGTACATTGCCCAGAAAAACCTGGTCTGATTTCATATGTGCCCCATATTAATAGCACTCTATTCAAAATTAGTCCAGTTTTTTCTGGGTGCAATCTATACATATGTATATAATTAATTTTTCATTATAAGAAATATATATTATTAGCTTACTTAAGATTCAAAATCATTAGAGTCGCAATTTCACAATATACATCTAAATAATACAATATACTATGTATTTGATATTTTACATTATATTAGCTATAAATTTGCAATTTTTTGGTTTTCACAGCTATAGCGTCATATTTAGAAATAATTACGAAAGTTCAAAACCTGTATTACTTGTAACAGCATATCGTAATTTTTCCCGCAAAGTACTCTTTTTTTGATAATTTGGTAATTTCAGGAGATTAAAACACGTAGATGACGTAGGCAATCTATTTTGTGGATCCTTCTTCCTAATTGTGAAAAATGCCCTAATTATACTGCCTGAAAAAAAGAAACGCAAAACAATTTTAAATTATTTAATCATTTAACATATTTAAAGTACAAAAAAAATACTTTTTTTAATAAACGGAAAGATTTTTTATTTCAAAATTTATTAAACGGATTATTAAACTCTAAATATTCGATATTTGATACAAAATATTAATAATGCCACTGGGTGAATATCGGGATCTGACTCAAGTAGTGAATCTAGGAGTAACAGCAAGTCAAGTGATATAATATAAATATTATCACTGACATTATTCAGTTTGTTCTTAAAAATATTTGAAAATTATTTTACCTATTGTATCACCAGTGTCTTCATCAGCTCCAACTTCTACGCACCTTATCGAAAAAGGAGGTTCCAAATGAGCGAAACCAAGCAACGGCGATTTCGAACAACTAGTCACAAACTACAAATGCAATCAATCTTCAGTTTTTATTGAAAAATTAAATCTTTTAATTTATTTCAATCATTATCAGGAGCGTAGCCAGAGGAGGGTTTTGGAGGTTCAAATCCCGAAATCTTGGAAAAACATATATGTTAAAGCCTAAAGTGCTAATTTTCTTCTGAGTACACCTCTGATAAAATTCCATAAACCCCTCCCCCCTGAAACTTATTTCTGGCTACGCCCCTGATCTTTATTATACCTAATGCAATGTTATTTAAAAGATTTAATATCACACAGCACAAAAAAATTTCTGAAATTTTATTAAATATTTACTTGCCATTTTTGGAATATTTAAATTCAAAGTTTAGTGAAAATTAAACATTTAAAATTCATTTTCGCATAAATTAAATTCTCAGGCAAGATTCATGCTAAACATTTATTTAATGGGGACATTTAAATCTTTACACAATTTTTATTTAACATTAGGAGAGACTGGGGTAAACCCGCTCACTAGCGATTTGACGCTATGAACTCAACTTAAAATGGAGATATTGGTACTGTAAATAGTAGGTACTTAACATTCAACTTATATTAATGAACTTTCGTTTAGTTTCATGAATTCAACATAGGGCGCCTTTTCCGTTGAAGAGTACAGACGTCTTTTCGTCTACCCTTCTTACTCTGTAAATTTCTGAATTGCGAGATATTATTCTCGCCGGTCCTCCGATGTTCATTAAGTACTTCTTATTTTTGTGAATTAATTACCTGTGATTTGTTTTTTTTGTTTAATTAATTTAAACTTAATTGAAAATTTTCATTAAGTTGTGTATGTGTGATAAACTCAGTTATTAAGTGTTCCGTTCTACTATTATATTTTTTGAACTTTTAACTTTTATATAATTTATTCCTCACATAAAAAAGTAAGGAGAAAATCAAAATAAAATTTAAAATAAAATGAGGACACAGTGCAATAAATTCTGGTTTTAATTTTAAATAATATATGAGTTCATAACTTCTGCAAGAACCAGTGAAATTACTTTCCACCAAACAAGTAAAGGTCAACACTAAAAACAATATTTGTTGACAATTCGAGGTTGGATCTTTATTTATTTTCTATTACTTGTCTCTCCTATCTTACGTTCAAATAAATTTCTTATTTAGCTTAAATTAATTTTTCCTTTTGATTATACTTGTTACTATAGTTGGTTTCACCTGGCTATTTTATTTTGAATTCGTGTTATTTACATTGTTATATCTAAACAATTTATAGAAAAGATATTTGCCAGTTTTCATTTTTTTTTATGATTATTAATTTTATTTAAATTATTGAAATGTCTTCTTTATTATTATGTTAAATTTATTTAACTAATATATTAATGAGGCTGGAATCTGTTTTGGACTTTGTTTTCTAATAATAATAGGGTAAGTGCGGGTATAGTCGGACAGTACTAGTAGTCGGACACTTTCGTGTTTTTTGGCAAATAAATAATAATGCATTGTGATAATTACTTTAAAAAGTATACTAGACGAATGTGTGAAGTTTATATTTTATGAAATTAGTGTTATTTTCGAAAATAATTAAACAAGAAATATTTTATTTAATGTTTTAAAAATCATGGTGTCCGACTATAGATACAACCATTTTCGAGTAGCGCGATGAGTGGCACAAAGTTTTGTTGATAATTAATCATAAATATTAAAACTTATAGGGTTTAAATATTATATTAATAACTTCTAATGTGCTTTAATTCCATTTTCCAGCAGATAGCAATTAAATAATTATCTTTTTTACTTTATAAATTCAAAATATCTGACAGATGTCCGACTATAGAAACAAGGGGAAAAAGTGTCCGACTACTAAAGCATTCGTAATTTTTTATTAAAATGTTTATATTTTATTGAATACTCAACTATTTGTAACAAATTTATATGATTTTTAATCCTGAAGAACTCCTTTAATTAATAATGTGCTTATAAACACAGTAGATATTTGCTATTTCAAGAAAAAAAGCATAATTTAAGATTGTATCCTTAAGTGTCCGACTACTAGTGCATTTACCCTATCAATCTTAACATTTTTTCTTTTTACTTATTTAATTATTATTTTTTTGTTTTTTTTTGTTGATGAGTTACTTTTTTTAGATTTTGCTACTATGCCTCCTAAGAATCTGCTGAACACACGTGAGATGTCCTCAACTTCGAATGGATCGAATTTAAGTACGAGACGGTCAGGAGTTGGAAGAGGATTTCTCGGCCAGAAAATCTCTGATAGGAAATTTCTTCAAATACAACAACAACAAAAACAACAAACCAATATTCAATCTAAAAGTTTGGGTAATGGGGATAATAGTAATAATAGAATAATGGAAGTGGAAGAGTTTAATGAGAGGGATAAAGAAAAGATCTGGATCTTTAACTAAATCAGAGAACTATTCTTCACCTAATGCTTCTGGTTCTTCAGGTTCTTCTAATACTCCTCATAAGATTAAAAAAAATCCTCTATTTCCACTCAATCTCAATCTGGAAATTGTCCAACTACCTCACATGACGATGGGGAAAAACCTTCTGAATTGTCTAGCAAGTTGAGTGATCCTGATACTCTACATTCTGTTGATGATCCTCTTGATAAGGAGGATTCTCATGCGGATCATGAAGATGAGGTCCTCTCTGATGAGCAGAAATCTGCTCTTGATAGGGGGTCGAAACTCAAAGATCTGTTAGAGAATCCAATGTATTACTGATCGTGTTCTGAGAATGTGAATAGTCTTTTTAGATATGCGGAAAAATCTATTGGCCCGTTTTTTGTTCTAATGGAAAAATGGAATCGAGAGATCCAAAAAAAGCTCTAGGCAAATATGATCCTTTTGCCACCTCTGATCTTATAGAATCTGTCATTTCAGGCCCTAAACGAAATTTTAGAAGTGGTCAAAACCAAATCAAGATCATTTGTGAGAATTATAAAGATGCTAACACCTTGATTGATTCTTCTGAATTAAATATAGCATATAGAACTTATATTCCCAAAAGTCAAATAAGCCGAAGAAGATTTAGTAATGATATCCCAACTTCGAGATCTGTTTCTGAGTTGAGAGATAGTCTGGATGCAGATACTAGAAATAATGTAATAGCTATTAAGCGTTGCTTTAACAATAAATTGGAAATTACAAGTAGAGTTGAATTTTTATTTCGCTCTACTTTTATTCCAAGAATCATTTTTGTTAGGGATTTTGCTTTGACTATTACCCCTAAACCATCGTGGTGTTTTAGATGTCAGAGATTCTCTCATATCGCTGATCAGTGTCGGTCAACGCATCCGGTTCGCTCCTACTATTCGGGTAATCACAGATACAATATTTGTCCATATAGAGATCAAATTCCGTTGTGTACCAACTGTGGTGGTCCACATGAGGCTGTGGATATCAACTGCCCTATTTATAATTTTGAATTTGAAATCTCAAGATGCCGGTATATAAATAACTGCAGTAGAGAGGAGGCTTTGGAATATCTGTGTTTCAGTGGTTCTCCGAATATTTCTAGAAGAGCTAGAAATGCTCTGAAACGAGCGGCTGATTCACAGGTTGTTTCGAATCCTCTAAATTTGTCTATAGTTGGAGGTGAACGGGAACTTGATGGTCAACCTATAACCCTCTTTTCAAATTTGAACGACATGTTAAGACCGGGTGGTATACAGACGGGTATTGAATGTAGATCAGATAGAGATATGATTGCTGCTCAAGGCTTAATTAATTTGGTTGATTCTGATCCTAAAATTTGAATTCTAATGAATCTCAGTTCTCCAGCCTCTTAGATGTATGTTGTTTTTTTCTCTTTCTTTTACATATTTATTTATTTCTACTTGTTTTTCTTTTTGTTTTTTTAGTTGTTTCTTTTACTTTATTGCTTTGTTTTTTGTTTTTCTCTATTTTATCTGTGTTACATTTGAGGCATGATTATTTTTCTGTTTTAATTTGATTTTGTTTACTACAAAAGCCTCTTTTTTCATTTTTTTTCTCTTCCTTTTCCCCATTTATATATTAACATGGTTCTTGACGAGGAAAGGGAGGGAAGATGTCTAATATTTGCCACATCGAATGCATGCAGCGTGGTAAATAAAAAGACAAAAATAGAGGCCTTATTATTTCAACATAAAGTTGATATCTTGTCCATCACAAAAACCTGGTTGTCAGATAAATTTAAAGCATGGGAATTTTTTGGTTATAATACACATAGAGCAGATCGAGATGCTCACGGTGGTGGTACTGTTCTTTTGGTGAGACAAGAAATCATGGTCAACACAATTAAATTTAAAACCGCTGTCTCTCCTTTTTTTGATGTTGTGGGTATAATATTTGGATGAAATTTTTTGAGGAAGCTACTAGTTGTGGACCTTTAATTGTGGAAGGTAATTTCAATGCACACTCTTTTTCTTGGGGTACGGTGCTACCTTTAATTCTCCTAGAAGTTCTGATTTGATGGAAATATTCGATATTTTTTCTCTTTTCTCCCTTAAGGGGATCCCACTTATCGACATTGCAGATCTAAAATGGTTAAAAATTTGCAACGACCGTTTCTTGGAAAATATAAGATATTATTACCTATAAATTTGGAAAACTCATTTTTTATCATAAATACACAGGATGAGTATTTTATTTGTTGTAATTATTTGAAAAAAATTATTGTTAGAAAGTTAAATATGGGCAGTTCCCCTGTAACAAATCTTCTTGTTGCAAATTTATATACAAAACAGTTTACATAAATTAAAGTTTTTTATTGTTGTTTTCAAATATGTAATGAATCTTATTATGTGTATTTTTTATTAAAATTAAGTTAGCCAAATGGAAAAATTATTTTGTTTTGTTGTTTTCAAGAAAAGGTCGTTGCAGTTTGGGCTCTTGGAAACTGCCCATATTTAATTTTCTAACAATATATTTTTTTTTAATAAATACAACAAATAAAATACTCATCCTATGTATTTATGATAAAAAATGACTTTCCCAAATTTATAGGTCATAATATCTTAT